TCCTGAGCCCTTCGACGAAGGAACAGGAGCTGCGATGTCAGCGGCGAAAGCCTTTGCCAGATCAGTGTTTTGCGAAAGACAACAACAGTGGGCCTGCTGAAAGAAAAAAAAATGTCTGGCGTATAGACAAGGTACACTCGCCAACGCAATGTAGACTGTCGATACAATGTTCACTAGTGACTGTACGGGACTCGTAGAATTAATAATAAAAAGCATGTCTCACTAGCATTGGTGAGAGTGACATAGCATAGCCATAAAAGACAATATGTTTCAACCACATTGCATCAATTTTGATGGATGCATTGTTTCTTTGAAATTACAATGTATATATGTGTGTATGTATGATTGAATAGATAAATAAATGCATATGCATGTATAAATAAATAAATATAGACACATATATAAATATGTATATATATATATATACTTATATATACATATAAGTATATATATATATATATATATATATATATATATATATATATATATATATATATATATATATATATATATATATATATATATATTAATAAAAAAATAGGTAACAGCATATTCTAAAAAGTGGAAATGAAACGTGAAAGTGTGTTGAAACATAGCCGCTCCTTTTGGCTCTGTCTACAAGATGCTTGAGCACCACTGTGGACAATTATACGGCACGAGCATGTATTGTACACAGCTAAATATGTCTGGTTACCTAATTAGATCTGAGTGTATGATTAGCATAATCTCATCGAGTATTTATAAATATACATAAACAAATGTCAAATAACATATCTCAATATACCACTTCCATTTTCACATCAAGATTCCCCTTTTTTTTAACACTGATTTTCTTGAAATAGTAAATCAACTGTACCCCTAATACATAGCCCCATTAAATAATTCCCTTTATATAATTCATACTATTTTTTTTCCAACCTCTAAAGAAAGTTTTACTGGTGATGGCGCATGGGACGCATGAGGGTAACATCACCCATTATCTTGTTAGATCTTTTCTGAACTAACTCACAGGTGCCTGTTGGAGATGGCGAGACTTAAAAAAAAAAAAAAAAAAAAAAAACCCTGCTATATCATGCCAGGACTGGTGAGGTGGACTAGTGTGCTAATAGATTTTAGGAAGAGATTGGTGTGAAAAGCGAGTAGTTTGTTATTTGGGTTTCAGATATATGTGATTTGCTGTATATACACTACGTCCATAAAACCAGACCTGGCTTGGAAACTTCAGCAGTTAGTACGGATGGCGGCCATGCTTTCGGTATTCATTGTTATTCATCATATTCTTGTATTTCTGTCTCTGTATCTTTCTATGGTTCTGTCTCCTTTTCAATCTCTCTCTCTCTCTCTCTCTATCTCTCTCTCTCTCTCTCTCTCTCTCTCTCTCTCTCTCTCTCTCTCTCTCTCTCTCTCTCTCTCTCTCTCTCTCTCTCTCTCTCTCTCTCGCTCACTCTCGTCTTTTTCTATTTATCTCTCTATCTATTTCCCTCCCTCCCTCCCTCTCTACCTATCTTTTCTATGTGAATGGATATGTGATGATTATTACCTATTTCAGTTAGTCTATCTTTTATTATATTCCTCAGCTGACCTCTTCCTTAGACTTCTTTATATAATTCTTTATATAACAATCCTGCATTATTTTTCACTCGAAATTTCTTTTTTTCTTTCTTTCTCCTTATATTACCAATTCTAGAATTGTCCTTTTTTTCTTTCTCTTTCCATTCCTCTACTTATTTTTTCAGCAGGCCATCAGTCTGTATATATGATGTCGTGAAAGCTAACACTATGGCGTAAGTATCTGTTCATCAATTCATTGCGTCCATCACTAATGAAGCTCTTCACTGCATCCTCTCACTTCGGCCGCCTCCGTCTTACCTGCTGCTAGTGAGTTGTCTAACAAGTAGTTCACACGTGGTAATGCTAGTTTTTTCTCTTTCTCTCTCTCTCATCCTCCCTCCTCCTCACTTCTACTCGACTGCTCTCTCCGCGCCTCCTTCCTCTACTGTCGTGGCGGTGCTCCTGACGTGGCCTCGGCTGCGCGGTGCGGTCGGCATCGCTCGCTGGTGGTCGTGGTGTGCTCCTGCGCGTGCGACTCGCCTCCGGTGCACAACAGCCCTTGCATTCTTTCCCCGAACAGGAGGTGCTGACGAAGGACACGATGCGCGTGGACTCTACGGGCAACAACACCAAGCTGGTCATCATGAAGGCGCAGAGGAGCATGAACGGCAAGTACATTCTCACCGCCAAGAACAAGCACGGCGAGGACTCCGTCGAGATCAACCTCACAGTCCTCGGTAAGTGATACGTTGCCGTTGTTGTCGCCATGTTTACTGTAAGCTTCACGTAATGTTTCCGTGTACCATTTCCTCCGGACAATGCATATATTTATTTTACCTCCCCTCACTCCCTATTCCGCTGACTCCAGGACCGCCAAGCAAGCCCATGGGCCCTCTGGAGGTCACCGACGTCAAGGCCAACGGCTGCAAGCTCAAGTGGAAGAAGCCGG